TCTCTTATTTGCCTTTAGTAATGCCTTTAATAATTTTTTCGAATTCTTTATTATTGGCTTTATAGTTCTTTAGCTTTTCCTTAATTAATTTTAGTTTAGTTTTATTTTTAATAAAGGTTTTCTATTTCAAGAGCTTATTATATATATTATTTAGTTTACTAAAGATATTTATATTAAATTCAAAAATTATAGCTATCTTTTCTAGTATTAGTAAGCTTTCTATAATTACCTAAACTCTTTTAATATTTTAAACTTTAATACTATTAATTTATAGGCTTTTAGTAATATTATAGCTTATAAGAATTTACTATTATACTTTACTAGCTTAAGAAATCTGTTCTTTAGTTATTTTATTATTCTTGAAAAAATTATATAAGTAATATTAATATAATAGTTATAGATTATAAAATTAAAGATTTTTAAAATTATAAGAATTTCTTTTAAATACTTTCTAAAATAAAAAATAAATTAGAATAGACTTGAATTATATAAAAGTATTATATATATTCGAGTTTTCTTTCTTTTAAATAAGAAAATAAAGCTAAAATCATAATATATATAATAGAAAAAATAGGTATAATAAATAGATATATTTAAGATAATATAATTATAAATTAAAAATAATTATAAAAAATAAAATATGAAATTAAGCTTTTATTATAAAAAAGAATACTAATATATATATTTAAGGAAATATAATCTGGAAAATAATTAAGGTAAGCTAAATTAAATAGAAATAATAAATAAATAAATAAGAAAATAATATAATAAGAATATAAATATAATAATAGTAATATCTAAAATATTAAAATATGAAAGAAAATAATATAAATTCCATAATATAAATATATTTTAATTCTTTATTTATTTGAAAATATTTCTATTAATTTAAAAAATAATATAAAAGAAAAAGAAATAATATAAGAAATATATAAAAGATAAAATATATAAAAATATAAAATAAGTATTAATAAAAAAGAAACCCAGAATACCGGAATTAAGAAATAATTTAGATTAAGATATTATTATAATAGAGATATAAAATATAGAATAATATATAGAGAAGAATAGGCTTTTATAGTATAGAATTATAGTATATAATTGAGATATAGAATTAGAAAATAAAGATTGGGTTATTTTCTAAGAACTAAGAAAGAGAACAGGGAATATATATATGAAACCGGATATATGAATGTCTGGAGGTTACCTGACTGTGCCATATAACTAATAGAAGTAAAATCCCTATTATAATACTAATTTAAAATAAAATAAAAGATTAATAAAAGTAATATATTCTAGAAAATAAGAATTCTCTTATTCTATTATATAGAAACTTTAGAGCCCGAGAATACTATTATATAATAACTATATACTAGTAATTATATATATACTTATATAACTATACTTATATATTTAAGCTTTAGCTACTTGTATTATATCTTCATTTTTTTAGATCTATTTATATATTATTATTATAATATAATAATAATGTTTTATTATAATAATTAGTAGTAATATTCTTTAATTTAATCTAATTAGAGTTTTCTTACTATTAATTACCTACGGATTCCTCTATATCTCTCTAGTAAGCCTTTTAAAGCTCTGCTCTCTAACTAGTCGATTTCTTAATTAAGTTATTAATTAGAAACCAATACTCTTCTTTTAATTAGATCTCTTAATTAAGTATTCTATTTAATAAATAAATCGATTTTCAGTTATTACTATTCGTATAATAATTATTATCTAAATCAGAATACTATACTCGCTTTCTAGTAATTGCAACTAATACTGCCCTCCCAATACTTCTGTATTATAAATAACTACTATATTAACTATAATATATATAAATATTATAATAGTCTCTTTCTTAGCTTAATGTCTCTATATACTTCATATAGCCTCGACTACTATCCTCCTGCTATTAAATAGCCTTCCTTAGCTTATTAATAGCCAGCCTCTTTCTCCTGCTATTAAGTAGCCTTCCTTAGCTTATTAATAGCTCTCTATTTCTCTCCTGTATTTCCTGTATATTAAATACATATATATAATACTATTAGAACGCTTTGGTTAATAGTATTGGGCTAGGTACTCTAGTAAAGGTTTAGGGATATTAGATATAGCTATTTTTAAGCTTTTGAGTGAAATTTATTCGATTTTCTATTCTTTTCAAAAAGTTGGCCCGTATATATAAGTGAATTATATATATATATATATATTATAAAGAACTACGCAGTTCTTTCTTTTTTGGGGGCATATATTATATGGCAACTATATGCTAGTAGTCACGTGCATGCTCACGTGACTATACTCATATATTTAAGCTTTGGCCACCCGTATTATACCTCCTTTCTTCCAGATCTATTTATATATTATTATTATAATATAATAATAACGTTTTATTATAACAGATACTATAGCTCGAATTTGATTGGGTTAGAGGTTTGCGGTTTTGGAATTAGTAGAGTTCTTAATATTTGCTTCATGAATTAATTTATTAGTCTGAATTATAAAGTTAAAAAACTATATCCCGAAATGTAATAAAGCTTATAAACCAGGAGAATTTCTTAATACTTGTTTTATTCTTCTATATATTATACTCTAACCTTGGAAAACCCTTTCTTATTCTAACTTTATACCAAGTATTTTATATACTAGAAGAGGCAAGTTCTAACTTAGCTATAATTATTAGCCTTATAAGTATTTACTCGGCTTATAGTTATCTGCTAATATCCTCTTTAATTATAACTAAAGCACTATATACCGCAGGCATTATTACAGCTAATAATTCTATTAATACAAGTTAATATTCTTATTATAGTTTATATAATCTCTTCTTTTAACTAATTATTTTCCTTTTTTAATCTTTAGAAGAGAGCGGACTATTAAAATACAGCTAATATATCTATTAAGGCATTTATAGCTATTAAAACAAAGAATAAAAATAGCTTTATAGGACGCCGGCTACTTCTATCTAGTTATGGTATTTAGACTTTAACTAGTCGGGCAAAACAGCGTATAGTTCGGGCCGTCTAGAACTAATTAATATATAGTAAGTCAGGCGGCTCTTTTAAATAAGCTAAGAGAGTTTTGAAACTTGTTTTGTAATAAATACTCGGCTTCTCGGCGAATATATTAATCTCTAAATTAATTTATATATCAACTTTCTAGTTCGGCTTCTTTAAAGTATTAAGGCTATAACTAGATAAATATTAGAAAGAATAACTGCCTCTTGCTTTATTATTAATCTGGCGGTATTACTTTATTCGCTTTGCTTTATTTACTATATTTCGTTATTACTAGTTATATATTAGGGCGTATTATTTGCGTCTCGATAAGTAATATATATATGTATTCCGCAAGTTCAGTGAGACTCCTAAACTAATTGCCAGAGTATTTTTCAAAAATCTATAATACTTGGAAATATACTAGCCGTAGAATTCATTTCATTATTTATAATAGGTAAAGAGATCCCGAAGCGCTTATATTATATTAACAATTTAAAATCTCTTAACCCGAGCAATCTGGTATTTATGATTTCTGGGCAATAGAGATAAGCGATCTGAGGCTAACGGTTTATGGTAGGGAACGACGAAACTAGTAGTGATCAGGCGGGATATAAAGCAGCTGGTGGTGATGGGCAGGGCGTAATGGAGTTGAGGCGGGATGTGATGAAGCTGCCACTCGCGTAGGCCCGCACATATTGTCCAACCATTTTGTCCAGTACGGCACCGGGACCCTTCGTACAACAATGAATGGTATTGATTCCATCAAGGGATGGCATTGCGATTCGAAGGTAACCTCTCATACATGAATGACCTGTTCCAAGCTGATCAAATTCACCGGAGAGATACTGTTTAATCTTCTCACAGATTATCTTTGATGTAGAAATTTCATGCTCTTAAGAAGCGAGTTTTGATTACTGTAATAATTAATAGTACTGGGTGAACTCATTGAGGTTTAGCACTTAGCGTATGCATCCCCTGGGCAAAGCACCGCACGCAATCGCAGGTAGTGTTTAACACATACGCTAATAATATTTCGTTGGGGACTTCTATACGAAAGGCATCCGAAAATTTGGGCATTCCAAAATTATCTTTGATGTGAGGGCTATTTTTGTAAGTTGGCGGGGTGGACCGCTTTTTGTTTCGCTGGGAGGTCCCCTACAAGAGACGCGAGCCCATCGACCACTGTCGCGAAGCCTCACCTTCCTTTCTCTTCAACAACTGCCAGCAATGCAAGGAGACAGTTCCGGCATCCTTTCTTGGACCGCTGAAAACCTAGATCGCAAAGACCTCTTTTTAATGTGGAAGAGCATCACGCATGCCCTCATCTCCACTGGATACGTTGCAGAGCTCTACCAGGAACTGGGCCACGCCAGTCGGACTGGTCGTGAAAATCTAAGCTCTGGCAGTCAATGGGTAGTTGAATCGTGCTGCGATCCTGCTTTACTTTCAAACGAATCACTACAAACAGCTGCTAATAGTACAGAGAATGACAGATCGGCGTGCGGCTACGATGACGAAGAGTCTATTGATGGAGATATAATGATGTCAATCCCAGGCGAGAGCGACATCGACGATAACGATCTCTGCGATATACCATCCAACCTTATCATTGAGGCTGCGGCTCTATCACACCACCACAGTTCACCACAAAGCTGAGAGGATATACTCACCTAACAGGAGTCGCTTCTCCCGCACGACGGGCTAGATGACGACGTCACTCCTTCAAGATCCTGCCACCCACTACCATTTTGCACTCCTCTACAGTTCAAGGTCATGTTACCAGGGGTCCTGCTACCTGCTGTCCTCCAGGGCCCAAGATTATTGATAGATCCTACTACCCAGTAGGGTAGTCACATGAGCTTGCCAGGGGGTAAAGTGCGTCCAGCAACCGAAACTCAATCAGATATTTTCTACTTCTACTGTAATCAAAAATGGGGCACAGTATCGATGAGTGCACAGTGAATAGTTTCTCATTGCTTCCGAATACGCGCTGAGAGGATGAAGCATCTCTGGAGTAAGGCCGTAGATGGCCTTGGCCTCTCTATTAGCTCCCTTCTCGATCAAGTAGTCTTTCATCCTTGTAATGCCTTTCTGATATGAAAAGTGAAGCGGCGCCATGCATTCGCCATCTCGAGCGGCCATATCCGCTCGTCTTTCCAGGGGAAGTCTGAGAACACCTAGAGAATAGCTATATGCAGCAAGGTGCAGTGCTATTCGCCCCTTGAAATCTGTAGTGGATATATCGGCTCTATGGTCGAATAGCTCCTTGACTACCTCTTTGTATCCTTGCAGTATCGCCAAATGCAAAGGAGTCTTGCGGTAGTAGTCCTGCGCTATATAAGGCGTATACTTTCTAGAAGCTCCTTGACCTTTAGAATATCCCCCACTAAAGCGGCGCCTGCAAGGACTTGCGCATTGTCTAAAGAAGCAAGCCAGATTCTGCAAGTGGGACAACAGCCATCGAGAACGGACTTGGATAGGCAGTGTTCGTGGAGCTAGTAATCGCAACACCGTAGTCGAACCATGCCATCCCCAATTTGCTAATCCTCGAAGCAGAAGTAACAGTGTTCCTCGGTATTATCCGCATCCACAGTCTTTCTAGTAACGTATGTGTCGGACAACCGGTCGTGCTTATCGCCAGGTGAGACCGGCGCATTTTGATCGGTGAAGTTGACCCTCGATTGCATGGTTGGGATCCTGGATCGAAAAATAACGCTCTTCTCCGTACACTTCCTCGGGTTGGCGTGCTGACTTTCCACCTTAGGCTTTTCGGCTTGAAAAATAAGGAAGCCTATAGGTTTCTCTCTACCAAAGTATGACAATTCCTTTTGGGAAGTCCTGTGTCAGCTCTGGTAGGGCACAGCCTAGGTCGAGAAAAGGGATGCGGGGGTGGTCTGACATTTTGGGAACGATCGCGATCCCCACAGCCAGCCACCACCAAGCTGAATTCCAACCAACCCCATGCAAGGACCGTCGATAGGGATCAGGGTACATGAAACCTCGGCGACCTGCAGTTGCAGTTCTGGTGAGGCTTCCTGGAGCTTTCCGGTGCTGTGCATAAGGGATTCTTGAGATGTCCTGATGAACCGGTGTGGTAAAAGGTATTTCAGAAGTCATTAGGTTATGGTTATTCTAGAACTCCTTGTCTCACGCTTCGCGTATTCTTGCGTCGTTAGGTCCGATGAATGCCCGCTCCCATGAGTTCCGACCGAGAAGGAGAAATTAGACTCCCACCAAGGTCTCTCGGTGTCAGAGTGACAACCTGGAGGGGAAATGCAAGCTTTATATACAATTACGAAACGTGACAGTAGCAATGGCTTCAATCCACTTGCCCCCATGCAAAACTCTTGTGTTTCTTCAAAGCCTCGTACGTAAGGTGTAAACTCTGATACAAATGATTCGTAACCGCACCATGAATCTCTATATCCTCTTTTGCCTCACTTCCTTTTGACGTCTCTTGAAATCTAATAAGCAAAGCCTTGAACTTCTTCAGATCTCGTAGAATAATAACTAGCTGCATCCATCTGATGTCTTCGCTCGCAACTCGGTAAACACCGAGGGTTAGCGGGAGTGGTTGGCTACCAGATCCAGATGCAGGCCCAAAGTAATCTTTCGATGCACCTTGGTAAATCAAGATAATTCTCCCGAGAATGGTCCCCAGAAGCATGGTCCGGAGGCTGGAGCCAGTTCTAGAGTTGCAGACGGGACAGTTCAGTGTTGTTGTGCATGTCTCCATAGCTTTCTGGTTGACTGTCAAAACAATATCGAAAGAGGAAGCAGGCTGTACTGCGTTGAAGTTGTGTAGTGTTTGAAGTGCTTGGAGACACCCGTTGAAACAGCTGCAAGTTGTTGTTCTGGCCAAACATTCATCCGTGAAGAGGTTCGGCATTGGGAGGTATTGACGATCGCAAGGATCAGATGTTGAAAATGGGAAAGACTCTGTTTGGTCAAACCAGAGAGCAGATGGGGTGGCTGATCCATCTGTCATGCTTTCGTGCCGCTGCTGGTGGTGGTTGTTGTCGACGTACGGTGAAGTGATATATGCAGGTGATGCATGTGTGTAATATAGATATGGGTCGGGTGTATCGATGCTACCCCTCGAGCTGTTTGACTCGGACGAACTCTGGCCATGTATGAGTGGAGGTAACATCAAATGCCGATGCTCTTGTCCGTCAACGTTAGAGGTCGGTGATGTCGTCCAGTCCGTTTCTGGGAAGTATGAAGTTGGTTCTTTCGCTTCGATGTTTAGGGGTGGCGGTAAATAAACTGCAGTGCTGGAGACCTTAGAGTCTTCGGAGATTGACTTGTGCTTTGATACGGAAGGCCGACTCCCCTTGCCATCAGACTTTGGTTTGCCAGCTCGTGAGGATGGACTGTACTTGCACTCTGCTCCGAAGGCGAGGCATCGAGAACACATCGGGAAAGCTTTGCTGCATTTGACCTTTGCAAGAAGACAAGTATCACAAGATGCTCGTAACTTCGGGGTGTGGGGAGTGTTGGAGGAAGCTCGTGAGAACATTCCGATTGTGGGAGACGAGGCTGGGGGATAATTATAGGTGATTGCCTTATCTGAGGGTGTTTGTGGATCTGGAAAGATTGTCAAGAGAAATTTCCCTTGGGGAAGAAACCTTCGATGCAGTAGACTGAAATGACTATAATTCCAAACGATGGAAAATATGGATTAGAACGGACGTGAAAGACGTTAATACTGCAGGAAAGATGGGTATTGTAAGTCTCGTCCAAGAGGTAATGATCTCCTAAGCACCTTGATGCATGCGTTGACAAGCCTGATAAGATCTGCAGAATATCGGCGGAATATTTGATACACAAGTTGCCTCTATTCAATCATTCCTTGGAGGATTGAAGGATGCGTTCGGGCGTCCGTGACATAAGGATCCAACAGATTGTAATCAACGTATGGGAGAGACTTTGGTGTCGTAGTTTTGGTCTTATTATGAACGTGATCATCGTCCGATTACCAAAACCGATCTGGCGAGATCGAGAAGCAATACTTAAGGAAACTGGGTCGGATGCAGGGACCAACCATATCGATAGATGCGGTATCTGGTGCGCTGTGCGGGCTGTCCGGCGCCCGTATCTGCACCTAACTGACCTAAGCCACGTGGTTTCCCATAGAGAAGGCAAGTCCCACAGGGCTTCTGCCAAGCATCCAAGTGCTACTGTAACCGCCAGCCCCAGGGATTCACCGAGAGACTCCAAGAACCCAATAAACCTGCGGGGTCAGTTTCACTCCCCGGACTGGAAAAAGGATGTCACCAGCTCACGTGTGGAAATTTGGGGCTGATGCGCTTCCAGACGGATTCGGGAATCAGGCGATGTTACACAGCGGGGTGCCAAAAGTATTGGACCAATTAAAACCTGTACCTAGCCAGCCGATAAATACTTTTGGCACCCCGCTGTCTCTACTCGGTCCCCTCCGTGAGACCTGTTCATCTTGGCATGGCATGTTCCTCCCAGTTGCAGGAAAACGTAAAACGACCCCCCGGGGTGTCGATTAGGGGTGTCGATTGGGGCAGGGGTGTTAACAAACTTGTAATTGGCTACTTAAGCCTTTTGGAAACCTTAAGTTATATTTTTTAATATAAGTATAAGCTAGCATATTACAATCTAGTATTTTAATTACGTGCTTTCTAACTTATAATAAAAAGATTCCTTAAAATAGAATTTTGATTTAAGGAAGTTAATATACTAATTAATTAGATTTTAGTTTTTAAACCTTATAAGGCTCTTATATTTGGCTTTAGGGACTTATTACTAAATTTCTAGGCTTTTTATAATGGATAGATATTAGATATTATGGATCTGGTTTCCTATTTTAAGTAAAGCTTATATCAGAATTATATAAATTATATAGAATTATATTTTCTAATTAAGTAAAGGGCTTTATATACTTGGTTAAATACTAGGAAATATATAAGGAAATACTTCTAGTTTTAAAAACGGGCATTAATTAGTCTTTTATTAGAATTAATTCTTAGAAATTAGTTATACTTGCAAGTATTACTTTAAAGCATACTTACCTTAACTACTTATATATTACTCTGCTATTACATGTCTTATACTTTCTTAAGCTTCTCTTTAAGCTATAAAATATGAAATTTTTAACTTTTTTAATATAACGAGTTATTACTAATTCAAATTTTATAAAAGTTTATATTTAAATAGCGCTTAATTAGCGCTTTAAGGAAATAAAACAAGTATTAAATTATATTAATTCCTTAAAAAATTGAATTAAATTAAAGAAAAAGCTAGAGTTTTGGTGTTCCTGTCCGAGCGCCTCTACTTTAGGTTAGTCCGGCCCCCCAATCGACACCCGGGAGGGAAGGGGGGGAGTCGTTTTACATTTTCCCCCAGTTACAGGCCCTTTGGGTGCAGCTGTCTATGCGCTCCGAATCCTCATCTCTTGGCCAGCCACTATCCGATGACAGCTGCAAGGTACGCAAAATTCCTTCTTTCCTTCCCCTTCCTCATCCCATTTTTTAACTGGCCAAGAAAGCGCCACTTGACCTAATCAATAGTGTGCTTTCACGAGCCGCTCGGTACGAGAAGATGCAGGTGCGCAGGAGAGCAACGGTAACCTCCAAGATCCCGTGCCGATCGCTTCAAAAGTCCATGAAGCCCGTCTCCGAGGATATTCTCTCAATCACTCTCAGAATCCATTTTTCTTAAAGTATTAATTCACTCGTTGCCAACATGAAAGGTATCTTCCTTCTTTTTCTCTCATTGCTGTCAATCATTCGCGCGGCCACGGTTACTTACAATTGGAGCATCGACTTTGTCAACGCAGCTCCAGATGGCTTCTCACGGCAAGTCATTGGAATCAATGGCGCGTGGCCATGTCCTGCAATTGAGGGCACAGTTGGAGATACCATTGTAATCCATGTATTCAACAACCTTGGGACAGAATCCACGGGAATACATTTTCATGGCATCAATCAACTCGGGTCGCAGGTTATGGACGGCCCTTCGGGGGTAACCCAGTGCCCTATTCCCCCGGGATCAAGCTTCACATATAGCTTTGTGGTTAGTAAATTCCAGAAATTGGAGACAATTGATTTTGACGAGACCTCACTAGCTTGACGCCCCAGGATCGTACTGGTACCACAGCCATAACAAGGGACAATATCCAGACGGGTTGAGAGGTAAATTTTCAAGCAGTACACAAGGAATACCGTTGCTTACACTGCATGCTCAGGTCCTCTGATTGTCCATGATCCCCATGACCCATACAAAGGCCAGTACGACGAGGAGTTGGTCTTGACACTCTCGGACTGGTACCATGATTCAGTCCCAGTTCTAATCCAGCAAATGCTCGCTACATCGAACACTCATTTCCTCCCACCATTCCCTGAGGCTCTCTTGACAAATGACGCCAGTTCAGTATCCTTTAAATTCCAGCCTGGAAAGACATACAAGATCAAAATCATCAGCATTGCAGCGTTTGCTTCCACTTTCCTCCAATTCGATTCGCATACCATGAGAGTCATCGAAGTGGACGGCTCTTATATAGAGAAGCATGATGCCTATCAAATTCGAGTGGCCCCTGCGCAAAGGTACACAGTTCTGCTCAACGCGCAGCCAGCAACGAGACGGAATTATGCTTTTCTGGCTTCTCTGGATATGAATAGGGATTTCAGTGATCTTAATGCGCGGCCTCCGAATGCCTACCCGTTCAATATAACCGGTACTCTCATTTACGATGCAGCAAAACCCCTTCCAGCCCCGTACGTTGTTCGATCCTGGAACCCTGTGAATGACTTTACTTTTGCGGCCCTGGATGGGGAGCGTCTCTTGGGAACGCCAAACGTGGATATCACCTTGAACTTCACTTTTGGATTTGATGCTAAAGGAATACCAAGGTGGGTTCTTTCTATAAAGGAGCCCCAACTCCGAGATGCTAACCAGATCGCAGGACTTTTTTCAATAATAAAACCTACGTCCCACAAAAAGTTCCTTCCCTCTTCACGGCATTTACCACAGGAACAGAAAATACGAACCCGTTAATCTACGGAGCAGTCAATCCATTCGTGGTCAAGAAAGGCGACATCGTCCAGCTCACAGTTAACAACCTTGACGCGGCCATTCACCCCTTCCATCTTCATGGCCATCAATTCCAGGTGTGCGAAAGAGCATCGTCCGGCAAAGGAACTTTCAATGGTCACACGAGAAATTTCCCATCGGTGCCAGTGAAGCGAGATACAATTGCTGTGAACGCAGGTAGCTACAGTACCATACGATTCAAGGCCCAGAATCCTGGCGTGTGGCTCTTCCATTGCCACATTGAGTGGCATGTCATTATGGGCCTCATCGCAACAATCATTGAAGCCCCCGAGCAACTTCGTGGACTACAGATCCCGGATGACCACAAGGCTGCTTGTGCGGCTCAAGGTATCCCGATTGCGGGCAATGCTGCTGGAAACACCCAGAATCTGACTGATCTAACTGGCGCCTTTACAACCCCTCCGGTTCCTGATAATGGGTGAGTGTCCACGCGACAATGTCGCATAAGTCGGGGATGGCTAAGCTGACTGATTCTAGGGCGCTCTTTCCGAAGAGAAGTTTAATAATGCCCAAGGCCGGCCCCATCAGACGTGATAGGTACTATGGGAATTAAGCTTTGACCCACGATGTTGGAAGCTGGAAGTCTGGGCCCGGGAGTTTGAGTTTATACCCAGATCTTTTCATGATGCAGCTGTGCCGTCTCCCGTTCTTTGATAGCATTTCAGCGCAACATATTGGCATGCTCTCATCGAAGGAGTTTCCATTAGTGCGATAAGAATGAGGATTCTTTTTGTCATTGTCGTTAATGTCTCAATTATGTAATACAATAGTACGCATCAATAATACCACAGATTGTCAACAAAAATACAAGCCGATCACTCAAGAGCTGCAGAGTTGGAAAATCTACACTTCTAGATCGGAAGTCGAATCAGAGATATGGAACTCAACAAGAACTTCCTACGGTGTAGCGTCAGCCGCAACCTCCTACGCCAGTACCCCCAGTGTCAAGATTGATTATGGCACATCCACAGTTGCATCTGGTAATTCGTTCCGCATTGGAATGTTCCCTTGCCTCGCTGGAATAGCTGTCAGCTTCGAACTGAAGGCGAGCGGGGACACTCACTTGAAGTATTTCCAGGTTTGGAACCCATCTCCGATTGGTCTTTACATCACCAAGTGTTTAGAAGCTGACTTGAGGGAAGCTTAATGTCCGCCTTTCCAATACAGGAAAGGTTGAGAATTGGTTGAAGTGACTTGGGGGGTGCTGGATGAACGTAGATTTCGGAGCTGGAACTCTTGTCTTGAGTACTGTTAAAGCGGTTCTGTTGGTGACTTTGCAAATGGCATGTCTATTGACTCACCTGTAACTCTTCAGTTTCAACTTTCTCTCCCTTCCTCCCTTCGCACTAAAACAACTCCGATAAAAAAGATGATTCTTGGTCCCGTGTACAAAGCGGCCCATTTGAGCAGCGTCGTCCAAGCCGGAAATCGGGTGGCGTCCAATAACCTGGCTTTCAGAATCTCACGTGCAGCTGAGCTTTTTGGCTCCGACTGACCGACACAGATTCGCAATTGTCTCCATTGCAGCCTCACTTCAAACCCTTCAACATAGTGCTAGGAGCCCCCCCCCCCACCCCCAAACGCTCGAAGTATCTGAAATTGTAGCAAGTCCCTCAGACGAGCCAGGCTGCTGGGTCGGGTGTTAGTGACCGCTTTCTTCAGAGGCTGTCCGCCCAGTCCACAATCATGAGACTCATCGACACCACAACGTTGGAGCTACATGAGTTCTACTCCAATTTACCTTCATATGCGATTCTTTCGCACACTTGGAGCGGCGGTGAAGTCACTTTCCACGAGATGTCTCTGCCCATCTAGTCATCCTCCTGCTTAACCTTTCGCTTCTTCGTTTGGGAGGAGGGTTGATAGCTTTGATTGATTGTGGGGCCGCCCGTCTCGAAAACAGTCTTGGCCAAACAGGTCTCGTGTGTCTAGGATGGGCACTCACAGCGGAGCGTCGTGGAGGCGAGTATTCTGCAGATAAAGATCTGCGGAGTCGAGTGTTCTGCGGAGTCGAGTGTTCTGCGGAGAACTTTCTGCAGAGCTGAGAGCTTTGCAGAAAATAATCTGTAGAGGCGAGTGTTTCCCACATGGCCATCTTCTGCTATCTTTTGCTCTCAGATTTTCCCACTCAACGTGTTTAGGGGTAATCTCGCAGGACGCATGTGCCTGCCACCAATAAAAAGACGTTGAGAAAGATTGGTCTTTAGTGACGTAACCAACTGCAAAAGATGAACGACGAATTAGAATAGCGGTGTGATATCCTCGTGAGTGCTAACTTGTGGCATTATATCGCACGTGAGTAAGGTGTCACATGATCTCACCTAAGGAGACGGGTGCAAGTACAGGGTATATAAACAGCACCCAACCTTTCTATAAACTATATTTAACTGAGATATATAATAAAGATGAATTTTATCTTATCTAATTATAAATATTACTATTAAAGATTCTCAGGTAAAATAAACAAAAATAAACCAAATACCAGGTTACTAAATTACTAGGTAAAAGTTATATTATATATAAATACAAGAGATTTCTAGAATTATATTCAATTTCAGAAGAGAAGTATAAAGCTTATAGAAGCTTAGAAGCGAGACTAAATACTTCTTAGTATTATAATTAAGTGAAATATATATCTAAGACTCAAGTAAATTTTCTCTCTTATATTATAAAGGCTAAGAAGTCACCTGCTTATAAATTCCCGAACCCTAAAGTCATAATTTACTATATTTTATATCTTAAAATAGCTCTAAAAATACTTTATTCTTTCTTAAATATACTTTTCTTTTATTCTAAATATTTCCTTTAATAAATAATTATTAATAGTTTAAAAATAAAATAAAATATTTCTTTATTATTTAATATTATAATTATAAGAAATAAGAAAACCTTTTTAAGCTTATAAATAATATAATACTTTATTAGAAGAATAATTATTTATATTTAATTTAAGCTTTTTACCAAAATTATAATTAATTTTAGGGACCTAAATAGAATTATTATAATTCTTATAAATTATATTTATAATAGCTAAAGCTTAAAGATTTAAAAATCTTATATATTAAAAGTATTAAGCTAAAAAGAAATAAAAAATTAAAAAAATAATAAAAAATAAAAAATATTAGCTAAAATTATTAAAATACTATTATAATTTATTAAAGATTTGGATATTTAATTAAATATTTAAATATTTTTTAAATATATATAATATAATTATTTTATTAGAAAAATATATTTAAAATATATTAGAGATATTTAAAAAAACTAAGTATTAAATATTATATTTATAATAATATTTAAAGTTTATTTTTTTTAAATTCTATAAAATATTTTAAATAAACTAATTTAAAATTATTAGAATATAAATAATAGACTTTAAAATAATAAAAGTAAAAGCTTTAATTCTTTTTTAGAAAGATTAAATATATATTAATAATATATTAAGTTTTTTTTAATTAAATTCTAGAATAATAAATAATTATAAACTAGTAATCTAATTATTATTTTTATATTTTTTCTTTATTATATTTTTTCTTTATTATATTTTTTCTTTATTATATTTTTTCTTTATTATATTTTTTTTAAAAAAAATTTTATTACTTTAAATTTTTTTTATTAATATCTCTTTTTAAATTAAATATTTTATTAGTATTTCTAGAAAATTTATAAATATTTTTATTTTTATTATAAAGCTTCTAAAAATTAATAATTAAAGAATTATATAAATAAATAAAAAAGCCTAATATTTTAGTTTTAAATATTAAATATTATATAGCTATAATAAATTAGTTTATAATAGCTCTAACTATTTCTATTTTATTTATTTTTATTATTTTTATAATTCTGGCTATTTTAAATTCTTTTTTAAAAAATTTCGATTTATTTCTTATTTATTTCTATTTAAAATCTCTCATATTTTATATTTCTTTTGAAATACTAGAATTATTAAGCTTTTAAATCTAATTCTTTTTATTAGAAATTATATTATCTTTAATAACTAACTAATTTAGATTAAAAATAAGCTATAAAAAATATTATTTTATATTTTTTATAGAAAATCTTAAAATTAATTATATTTCTAATAAACTTATAAATAGTACTTTTATTCTAACTAATTTTTATTTAAATAAAAATAATTCGAATTAATATTATTAGTTTTTAGAAATATATTTCTATTTAAAGAAGTTATATTCTAATTCTAATAAAATATAAAATACTTGCCGCGATTTTAATAAGCTTTAAATATATTTTAATTAAATATTTTAAAAGTTTTATATTTTTTTTTATAATTATTTATAAAAAGTAATATTTATTATAAGTATAAGATCTAGGGCCTAGAAAATATAGTTAGACTATCTCTATTTCAATAATTCAAAACTAAAGAGAGAAGAGAATCTCGAAGGAATCTCGGATCTAAATAATTACAAGCTATATATGGACCTATATACTAGCTTAAACTCGGGATTACATATAACTATTAGATAATTATAGATATCTTACTCAGATACTAGATATCTCTCTCAGATACCAGATGTCTTGCTAGCTCTAGTCTAACCCCTACTAGTACTATATATCATAATATTACTTCTCTCCTTAAAATAAGCTCGTTTCCAAGCTTTAAAAGTTCTTATTAAATTTTCAAGTTATAAGTTATATATTAAAGGCCAGGGCCTTTTATATATAACTTGTAAGGATTTCTGTCCGTATTATATAGTTCTAGTAATATATTATTCTTGGTATAATCTAATTAATAAGAGAAGTTCTGGGGTAATTCTGGCTATTCGAGGTTCTTATTATAAAAGCTCTAAAGAACTAGGGTACTATTACTTAATAAGAATACAAGATACTATTTCGGATCTGGATTCTATTCTTTCTAATAAATTTAATACTTAAGCTTCCTATAAAATAGCTTTACTACTAGTATTTTTTAAACTTTATATTCTATTTCTCTGTCTTATAGTTCTAATAATAGAGGCTTTGGATTCGCTTATTCGGAAAGAGGATTATCTAGGTCTTTATATAGCTTTTCTATATAAAATACCGGATATATTCTTATTAATTCTAGTAGCTTAAGCCTAAAGAAATATCCTACTTATTCCAGAATTTCATATAGTTCTTTTATTTAGTAAACTAGCTTGTGGCTCGGATAATTATTTTTCTAGTATTTTATAATAATCTATATCTTATCTCTTACTTTAAAGTCTACTAGTCTATAGTACTTATTAGCTTAAGTAATATAATATTCTTATATTTATATTATATTTTCCTATATTCTTTACTATAATTTATAGAGCCATATTACTAGAGCTTTTACTTTTTATTTATTTAGCTTTTTTTTCGGGATATCTAATTATACTTGGGTTTCCTAATTAAATAAGGTCTATAGTTTATAGCCCTTTTCTATAAGAAATGGGAACTAGCCTATAGTCTTATAAACTAGAGCTACTTACTAGTAATTAATTATTACTATCTATTTATTCTAATTATCCTAGTAATAGTTTATATAGAAATATAGCTATTAGTAAAAATACTAATTAATAATCTTTATTTAGCTATTAGTTTAGGGATAATTAGTAATTAATAACTTGAGCTTTATACTAATATACTTATAGAACTTGCTTTAGAAATCTAAT